AACTTCTACTATAGTTCGCGTGCAACAAATTCCTGTAACCATGAAATTCTCTGCAACACAATAAAAATAGTTAACAAATGTAGGGATTAAAAAAAAATCGACGTAATCGTAAGCTAGATAAAGTAATTTACTATATGACAAAAGAACTTTAGAAAGAAAGGAAACTAAAGGATATACATCAATATGTTCTAACAGAAAGAAAGAGTGATTATTCGTAGAAATGGATTGAGAGGAAGTTTCCGACCTATGTGAGATGCTCCAAATCTGTATTTTGAATTGTGAGAGATGGATCTTCGATGTTCTTGTTTATTTCATTAGATCAAGCAACGTGTTGGTGAGGTGCAGATCGCGTTGGATGTTCACTTTTAAGACCGCGATGAGGAGCGGTAGATCCAGCGAGCCACGGTAGAGCGATGGTCACCACACAGAAGTGAGACACGGCAGAGCGATGATCCCGTTCGACAATAGCGAAGAAGGTGTGGAGGAGTTTTGCTTTCGGGATCTTGCGGACTGGGAAGATCGGTGCTCCGTCGTGGTGGAAGTGTACCGATCGGTGGGGTTTGACAGCGAGTTAAGAAGGTTACTGCTGGTCACTTGCATCTGCATTCTCTCCATAGCTCCAGTGACATCGACGGTGGAAGAAACAAAACCCATTGCAGCTGAAAATATTTTCGAAAAACTAAAGTCGGGATCAACCCCCATCACAATATCCATACAAATCGAAGAGTAAGATATGATGATTAAAACATAGACGCGTTTATATCAGAAATCATGATAGAGAGGTTACCATAGTTGCAGGGTGGAGTATGTAGATCTAGGAAGTTTCATCCCTGTTTATAATTAAAAGAAAAGCTGTGAGAGGGAGCAACTGAAGTGGATGTCGTGGAGATCTTAACGGATGAGTCTAATGGAGGAAGTTAATGACATGGTTTGAATGATGATGAGAAACGTTTCACGGTCAATCGATCGATCTAGTTGCAGCGGTGATAATTAAGACAATTGGGAGTGGAGACAAAGAGGCTGGCGGATGATATGGTATGGCCCAATTTGTATCCGAGAATTGTTTTAATGCTGACATGTCTTTTTTTGCCCTAAAGGAAGAGGAGCACCTGGAAGAAAAAACCTAAAAGGAAAGGCCTCGACGACAGCCCAAAAAAAAACAAACGGAAGGCTTTGATTTTTAGGCTAACAGGCCACCTAAAACCGAGCCCATCACCAAACATTAAACCAAGATAGCAAAACCAATTTAGACCAATACGGATTTGAAAAATTTGTGGTTCAATTATAAAAACTGATTGCTGAGGTGGAATTTTTTGCCCCCCTCACAAAAGCTGAGTTGGACACCCTAAGAAGGGAGGTAAGTCAACTTTATTGTATTAGATATAGTAACTAATCACTAGTATTATTTTCGTGACATATTCTTATGTTTTTTCTACATTAATAGCATGCATTTGGAACATTCCTCCATGATTAATGGACCTTCTACATTCGCTCAGTCGATCTATAATCATTTTTCCAGCTGACGGACAATGTATTAACTTTTTGAAATGATCAATATCATTGTTTACTGATCTTGTAATTATCACATGACATTTCCATGCATTTTATCTTTATTCATATGGTATCACGAATCAATTCTAATAAATTATCGACTCTTTGATTATTCTAGATTAAGCATATTTAACTCTGAAATTTTTTGGATGTATTCCAAAAATATAAATGTAATTTATAGATAACTAAATAAATTATCTTAAATATTTATATACAAAAAACTGGAATGTTATAACATCAGTTAGTTTGAAATCTGGTGATCATATAACAGCGGCACTAGCACATCCCCAACTGCAATCAAATTCGAAGAACACATGAGAATTTGGTAGCTCATTGCCGTTTATGGTCTAAAGTAATTGAGTCGGGTCTTTAACCTCATGACGGAATTCTTGTTAGCCTTAGCCTTTGTGTTTCGATTTGGGCCAATTACCTCATTCTACACTTTTTTTTTGTCAACTACTTCATTCTACACTAATTCCCTGAAATCGGACTTTTGCTTTAATCTTTAGCTTTAAAATTATAACTGTAGAAAATTTAGTTATTGAAACTTTGATTGCTAATTTAAGTTTTATTAAAAAACAAATTAATAGTTAAATTTGTAGAAGTTTTGAATAATACTTTAAATACTTTATTTGATATATTAAGTTATATTTTTATTAAAGAACTAAACATATATGACAAGAAAATAGTACAATATGGATCTCTAAACAAGAAAAAAAATCAGTAATTAATTTTTAATAAAATTGTTACAAAATTAAAACAAATTAAGTTATGAAGGAAAAAAATGTTTATAGAGAAAAGTAAAATAAAATGAAAGTTGGTTACAGGAAAACAACACAAGAAAAAAAAGAAGAGAAACTTATAACAATGTTAGATACATTAGAATAATTATTTTGTTTGAAAAGCATGATTGGTAAAGAGATTTAAAACTTTCTAGTTTCATAATACCTTCGGAGTTTTAACGTTAATCAGACCCCAAATTGTTGTTTTAGTTTATACTAGAAGTTGATCCACACAATAGAGTGGAAGTTATTTTATTTTTACATCAAATTTTGAGATTGATTATTTTTACATCAAATTTTGAGATTGATTATTCTTTTGTCATCATCATAAATATACTCGATTAAAACTCTGCTAATCAAACAAGGGATTCAATATTGATGAAGAAAAATAGGCTGGTTGACCTCTTATTCCTTGTGCAAGATTATCTGTTTTTTTTTGTGTTTTGAGTTTTTAATATCTTGTTATAAATTTGTATATAGTGTTGGTATTGTATTTAATGATTTATTTTTTTAAAGTATATATAGTAAGTATTTAATAAAAAACTCTGTTTTATCTTTCGAACAAAATATTTATTTTAGCTACATTTTTATATAAAATATGTAAGGATGTGATAATCAAAATAGAATAGTCTGTTAACATTTTTTACATTTATTTTTTATGAATATGAAATTCTACAAAATTGACTAAATACATTTATTTTGTTGATATATATAGTGCATAATTCTTGGGTCTGATAATTAAGATATTTTAACTTATAAACAAGACTTTTGTCATTATAACTTTAGTACTTAAAAAACTGGACCCTTTGTAATGAAAACTAAAACATAAAAATATGTTGGACTATTTTATCAACTAAAAATGTAAAGAAAAAACACACGATTAAAAGTAGGCCTTAACCCTTTAGTTAAAGCTTTCTATTATCGTCAGCAAAATGAAAAGTTAAAACATTTCCAATTACGAAACTGGCTTAACCAATACATTAATCGCCATAAAATAATTCCTACAACACACAAATGTTTACATGTTGCCGTGAAACATAACATAACATCAATCCTATACTGAACCATTTTTGAAATTACTTTTTCCCCTTAACTAATGCATTGACCCAGATTAAAATCAATCCTAGGTCAGCCACTGGACCCTTTACTTAACGTTTCTATTATTGTCAACAAAATGAAAAGTTAAACCTATACGAAATTGGCCTAACCAATACTTTAGTCGCCAAAAAGTAATATCACACAAATGTTTACATGTTGCCGTGAAACATAACATAACACTAATGTTACAAAAGCATTATTATGTTCAGAAAAAAATCGTCAGACTTATTCCAAAAACTAGTTATTATCTACCAAAATTTTTGAATCGGCCGGTTGCCACATTATGTTTAACATAGAATATGTTCCGTTTGGTCGACTAAATATTATTTAATTTAGTGATTGAGATGTGAGAATGAATGAGCAAGGAAATGGGACGTGGGGATGGCATGTAGATTGATGCTAGAAGCGTTCAACGATGGCTTCCATGGAAGTTGAGCAGGCCCATTTCTCTTTCTTTGTTTTAAATTAGTTTTAGTTCCTATTTCTGGTCTAGTTTAGCTTAACAAACAACTCATAACACATAAGTCGAACACGTTCATGACGTGGGTACAATTATCTTACTGACATTGAAACGGTCCAAAACCAAAAAGAGAAGACAACCGAAACAAAACACAGTTTGTGTCCTTTGTATTAATAGAAACGGCTCAAACAAAAGTCAACGGTTTTCCATAACGACAGGAATCGTTATATAATGTTTAATTTAGTTTTTTTTTTTGTGTTTTAATTTGTTAAGAGATTGTTGGCCTCCACCATCATCACCACCCAAAGAAATTGCCGAGATTTAAGCTCTGTTTTACAAACACACAAACAATCAAATCTCATTTTATAGAAACCCTAGTTTCTTTCCAAGGAGATTAGTTTCCTTGACACACACGTCTTCCTTCTTTTCCTTCTATTTATTTGTTCTTCTTCAATTTGATTCATATTTCTTGAGGTTATGGCAACGACGTCAAGCACGACAAAAGCAAAGGTGGACAACAATAACCTAACCAAAACAAAATCTATCGGTCGAAAACCAAAGCAACCATCTTCTGTGTCATCAGAAGATGGATCTGATCATAAACCGGAGAAGCCTTTGCCAAACTATTTGAAACCAACGATCAGTTCAAGACCTGACCCAGTCAAGTTCTTGAAGAAGGATGAGCAGGATAACCAGAAGCTTCTCCGTAGAAGATCTTTTGATCGACCACCATCTTCGTTGACTTCTGCTTCTACTCCTTCTCCACGTGTCCAAAAAACCCTCAACGTATCTCCTTCTCTGCCACGAGACAAACCCGCGGTTCCTAGAGAGAAGCCTGCCACAGCTCTGCGTTCTTCTTCTTTCCATGGAAGCAGAAGTGTTCCCAGAGGAAGCGCTCCTGTGAAATCGCCTCATGTTGCACCAAAGAAGAGCGGGTTGGGCAGTAGTAGCAGCACTTCTTTGAAGAGCAAGAAGAAAGTTCCTGAACATGTTGCTGAAAAGAATGCACCTGAGAAAGAGATTTCCTTGGATACTGCTTCTTTGTCATCTGCTCAGGAAGATGAAGAGGAGGTTGTGAAGGTTGAGAGGGATGTACAAGTTGCTGAGGATGTAGAAGAACCCAAAGAAGAAAAGGAAAATGAAAAGGTGGGTGTAGAGGTTGTGCATGCTGATGTTTCTGGTGAAGAGAATGAGAGTGGTGGATCAACATTGGTTGCTCCTGTTGAGGAAGACATTGTTGTTGCCAAAGAAAATGAAAAAGAAGAGGAAGAAAGAATATTGATCAATGAACATAACTCAGAAGAGAAAGTAGAGGAAGAGAAGGAACAAGAGAACAAGGTTGAACTCACTGAAGAGGTTACACCAAAGATTGATGAAGATGAGACTGTGGAGAAGGTCGATGCTGACATGAATACAAAAGAAGTTGAGAAGATCGAAGAAGTTGAAAGTGTGGAAGAAAAAGAAGAAGTGAAAGAAGAAAAGGAAGTGAACATTGAGGAGAAGGAAAAGGATAAAGCTAAGGAAGAAGAAAAGGTGGTGAACATCGAGGAGAAGGAGAAGGATAAAGTTAAAGAAGAAGAATCAGGAGAAGGGAAGAAGAAGGAAGTAGTGAAAGGTAAGAAGGAATCTCCATCAGCATACAACGATGTAATCGCAAGTAAGATGCAACAGAACCCGAGGAAGAACAAAGTTTTGGCTCTTGCTGGAGCTTTTCAAACCGTTATTGATTATGAAACTGCCGCATCTAAGTGATATATGTCAAAAAGAGACACAACAACAACAACAACAATCAACAATCAACAATGTCATCTCTTTAGCTTTGAATTGTATTTCATTTTATTTTATTTCTGTCTAATTATCATTTGCCATTGTTATAATTTTTGTGTCGTGGAATGTATGCTTTTCGAGTGAACTAAGTTATACACGAACCTAATCATATGTTTGAATGTATTGGACGCATTTGTGTATATGCGCAATGACTTGAAGACTAGCTAGCTACTTTTAACTCGGTAACTTTGTTAGCAAATTTTAAATCAACATATACCATTGTACAGATTTTAATTTTGATAAGAGTACAATAATGATATTAACACGAATCATATGATACATGTTATGCTCAAGTTTGTCTTATCAAACTCTGAAGTTTGTTTCCAAGTTAAAAGTGACTTATGCACACAAAAAAAGACAAATAAAAGCTCCTCTTGTAGTGTTAACTATGGGTGTGACTGTATTGCACTATTAGCAATATATTTTAAGTGGAAAACAATTTTACTCTTCCTTCAGCTACTTTTGTACCAATTAGGATAAACTTAGCTAAAAAATTCTTCAGCTGAATATAGCTGAATACAACAAAAAACAGTATAAATTATCCCTCTTGTTTTAATGAGAGTAAACATTTATTTTGCTTTTCCAGTTTCTTGTTTTCACTGTTCATTCTCTCTCATCTTTCTTTATTACTCTCACTTACGCATCTTTTATGACTTATTCTTGGGTTAACCCCAGGTTCACCATCCAATATGATTACTTTATTTCATATTTGATATAGGTTCACTATCTAATAGGATTACTTTATTTCATATTTGATATCTTTTTAAAAAGGAAAGAAAATCTTATTAAGTTATATTATGTTTTTTAAAATAAAAACAGAAAATAAACAAATAAATAAATAAAAAATAAATAAAAATGAAAATAATTCTTTTTAAAGAAAATATTTTAGCATTAAACCCTAAACTATAATCACAAACCCTAAATCCATTGTTAAATCATAAACCTTTAGATAAATCTTATTGTGTTTTAAAAATTTAATATTTATGATTTACCCAAGGGTTTAGGGTTTAGGATTAGAGTTTAGGGTTTAGTGTTTGTAATTTACCCAAGGGTTTAGGGTTTAGGATTAGAGTTTAGGGTTTAGTGTTTATGATTTACCCAAGGGTTTAGGGTTTAGGATTAGATTTTAGGGTTTAGTGTTAAAATATTTTTTTTAAAGAACCATTTTTTTATAAAAGTTATCCAAAGGTTTATGATTTACCTAGGGGTTTAGGTTTTAGGATTAGAGTTTAGGGTTTAGTGTTAAAATATTTTCTTTAAAAAAAGATCATTTTCGTTTTTATTAATTATTATTTTTTATTTATTTTTGTATTTTTATTTTTAAAAACATAATATAACTTAACAAGATTTTGTTTCCTTTTTTGAAAGATATCAAATATGAAATAGTGAAATCCTATTGGTTTACTCTCATTTGCGTGAACCCAAGAATAACTCATCTTTTATTACTCTCATTTGCGCTGAGGTTTACCAGTCACACACTATATGGAAGAATAAATAACCTTATAAGAGCTCTGCTCTAAAAATCGGCCGCCTAGCCACCTAGGCCGTCTAAACGCTAGGTGACCCTTTTCCTCCCCGATTTATGCCAAATCTTCATAAAAAATCGATCGTCCGATTTTAACCCACCTAGACCGTCTAGTCGGCCGTCTAATCTGTTTTTTTATTTTTTTATTTTTTTTATTTTTTTATCTATTTATTTATTTTAAAATTTAATAAATTATAATTTTGATAATTATATCATATTAACTTTGTATATTCTATTTGTGTGTGATTATAAGATTCTAAACATGAAAATGTATTAATGTTATACATAATTAAATATTAATATATCTTATAACATATCAAATAGTTTAAAAATTCTGTCCCGTATAATTTCCGCTTAATCCCCGATTTTCTCTGTAGACGCTAGGTCCAATCGAGCGGCCCGACTAGCGGCTAGCGCATTCTCGAACATTGAATAAGAGTAATAGACACTAAATCCTATTCAACCCACTATCACATTTTACCTAGATCAATTTAAGACTTATGGATACAAGTGGCTGGTGCCTTTCCAGTGAGGAAGTGTCCCACGCACATGAGAGTTCCTATCAACTTTGACATTTTATATTAACAAAACAAGCACAAGTTGCAGGACACAAATTTAGTGAAATTAAGTTACACGTGTTTTTTTTAAAGCCCATAGCCTCTTCATCCTTTACTTGTCGAAATGAGATGAGATCATGAAACAAGTAATCGCTCTTGTGGCAATCAAAAAATAAAAATAGAAACAAAGTAAGAATAAAAAGAAGAGATTGCACGCCTTCAGCAACTACATATATTTCCCCAAGTCCTCAGCAATTAAGAAAGTTCAGATATATTTAATTAAATATCATTAATTCTGTAAATAATATTTTGACGGATCTAACATGTATGAAGAAGTCTTTAGTTGTTTGTATCTAAAAAAATAATATAATTCAAAATTATATCAAAAATTTCATTTTGTATGTTTCTCTTTAAATGTTTGAAAAGTTTGAAACGAAGAGAACTGAACCTTCACCAAGAATCTGATAAAATGGAAACATGACAGCAGTTCTAAACATTTTCTTCTCTCGTTGCTTAGAGAAAGTTTAATATTTGTTACTTGGGTGTTACGTGAAACCTAGCCAAATTATAAAATAAATAAATGTCAGGTCACTGGGAAGGAATTCAGAAATTGAAACATCAACAGCGGAAAAGAGACTAGTTAACATACTTTAATCTCCATCCCCACAAGTTACAGACCTAGAACCAAAACATATTGGTTAAACACTAACTTGTGTGTTGTTATTAAGAAAATGAGGTCTCAACTCTCAATAACTTGATATCGAATCCTTCTCACCCCTACCACACATGTATGCTCACTTTTCTAGAAAATATATTCACAAAATATTGACGTTGTCTTTGTCAACTATTGACTCGTCCTTTATAAAATAAAATAAAAGAAATTAGAGAATCGATAATGTGGAGACTGAAAGGACATCAAACAGATAAGCAATTAAAGAATCAAACACTAACGTGGTTGATTACTTTTCTCTCGTCGACATAATATATATAATTAATTTCCTGAACTAAATTAAGAAACATTAATTCGCGCGAAAACAAAAAAAAATAAAGAAAATAACTATGAACAAAGAAAAAGATAACGATTTGCATTATTGATCATCATCATCTTCCTCCTGGAGATCTGAGAGTGTAAAACAACTCCTAGACATGACTGCTCTGTTCTTGAACGAATGTTTCCTTGTAAAAACACCTTCTCGCTCTTCATCACTAGATGTTGATTTGTTCTCGTCGTACCCGGATTTGAGATCTTCATTATCTTCCTCGTCTTCGTTGACCGGGAAAAGAGGCATAGACTTAGGGTTTTGCCATGAGTAAAACGATCTTCTTGCTAATTTGTTGCAGATCTGTAACCTTCTTCGTTTATTCAATGCATTCTCTTGTTTTGGTACTTCTTTTACACTCCCAATCTCTCCTAAATTCCCAAACGATTTTGATTTCCCTTTGTAGTGATTCGATAACCCTCTTCTGAAATTAAAGAACCCTAATTAAATAATTATTTCTTGCTCTTCAAGATTCATTTTTTTTAGTAAAAGGAAGAAAAAAAAGAACTTACTTGGTGAGGAGAGAATCTTCTAGAGAGCTCAATGAACCTAATCCTTGAAGCCCTAGCTCTTCGTCGTTGTCTTCTTCACTGTCTCCCGGACTTCCGATCGATGATGAACTTTCCGACGATTAATCCACCGTCCGGCCTGACCAGATTCCGTTTTCCTCATCGTTCACCGTGAAACCGGAAGAGGAGGAAGCCTTCTCCATCGCCTGTAGATCGTTACCGTATTCCGAGACCTCGATTGAGAAAGTAGGTCCTCTTGGCATCACCTCCATCGCCTTATCTTCCAGAACACAAAGACACAAACCTAGAATCTATTGCCGATTTGGTCGGAAAAAAAACACGGTTTTTAAAATCTTCACTTCTGGGTCCGGTCTTCAAATCACAGAATAGTAGAAATCGCCATGGCAGAAGAGAGATAAATGGAGTGAAGGGATAAGTTTTTTTTTATAAATTTAATTGAAGAAGACGATAAAAGGACGATTGGATAAAATATATATATATATCCTATTGGAAGATTATATATATATGCGTATGCGTGATTTCGGACACAAACTACTATAAACTAATGTCTTTTCTTGTCCTTTTTGGTTATGATATCTGTATTTTTAGTATTTAAAACATTTGAAAGTTTATTCAGAAGATAAAAATTAGGGAAATTTATAATTTTCCTGCACAATGTAAGTATATTTTAGGGTTGCATAATGTAATTAAGTAGTTCAATTTGGTCACAACTCAACTAAGGAATGGGTTTTTATTTCCATAGGAACCTTCGATTATTTAGGGTTTGGAAAGAAGTACTATAGAATGGTTGAGTTGGTCAACTAAGATAAAAGGAAAGGAATATTCCTTTCGAAATACTTGAAGAATATGTACTACCTAATATCAAATCTAATGGGAGGATAAGTACACAGTAGTTTTTAGTTTAAACATTTTTCTTCTTCTTTTCCAGTTTAGAATTATCATATTTTTGTTGCAATTTATTTTTATATACAAGTAAATAGATACAGACATACAGTAGAAATGATGATTAAATACACAAATTATTTAAAGGTTAGAAGAAAAACTTAAAAGTCATAGGTCAAAGCAGGGGGACCAATGGGATAAGGTTGAGGTCTAGAGAAACAACATATAATCTTCCCTATTAATCTAATCTATCTCTTTATTAATTTTTAATCTTAGCATTTGCTCTTGTTAGTGGCAGAGAATCATCCTCAGATGTCCACACCTTACCTCTCTCTCACTTTTATTATCGATTTTATTTTCAATATTTTTGTGTCTTATACTTTTAAATTTGGGAATCAAATGTTATTTTCTCTTTTTGATTATTAACGCGATAAAAAAAGAGGTGTATTGGTTTGGTTGGCTAAACTTTATAGAAAGCTTAATTATCATGCTTCCACCCATAATTTCATATTCTAAAACAGTACAAAATTTAATTCAGACACGAGTTTTTTGGCTTTTTCCCATATATATATACTTTTTTTTTATACTCCCATATATATATATATACTTGATCTATTAATTATATGAAACAAGTTCCTTTCACGAAGGATCTTATTAAGATTTGCAGATCAATTGATTGAAAGTTTAGTTCTATGTTATGACCAGATTAAACTATAGATCAAACTAAACCAACGATGTCGTTTTACATTTGTAGCATACTACCATTATATTTTTCCTCTTGTGACGACAAGCACACTATGGTTCTCAAACCCAATAAACCAACTAATAATACACCAGCAGTAATATGTGGAAGTAACAATAAAAATAAAGTAACGAAGAAAAGAAAATAAATAATGACCTTTGTGTATTGAGCCATATAGTGAGGCAAAGTTCCGAAGCTAACCAATATAGTTGTGGCCTCGGGTGTGATGGATTATATGTTAGTCAAAAGGGATATCATTTTACTTATCCTACTAGTCTAACCATAAATTCTAAAAAAATATCTATAGAGTACTTTTTGGGACGTATGAGAGTGCAGAAGACGCTAGTGGTAGGAAACGAATATTCTGTATCTATACTATTAAAGCTGAAGTACAAAAAATTAGTGTTTGGAAACATGAATAGGTATTTAAAATTGTAATGATTGGAAACAAGGATAGTTTACAAATCTAATGGGCTTATTTATTAAACTAAAGATTAATGCGGTCCAAAGTATCATTATTATTGTTTTTGGTTTCTATCATTGATATTATTTTATTTCTGAAAATTATTTATACATATATGTATTCATGTTTTAAATGTATTTAAAATAAATCAAGAATAATATATATTTTATTTATATAATTTATATTGACTATTGTTATAATTTTTTAACAGTAATATACTAGCCTTTCAATTCTTCATTAAAAAATTAACTTAAAATTTGAATAAATTGTTTAATGTATATAACTTTGCACCAAATTTAGCAAAAAAAAAAATTTATAAACTATTAATAAAATGTTTACGGGTCACAATATTTTGCGACGCCGATGTTACACAATACAGTGATGAAATACAATGTTTAAATAATGTACTATTACTTAGTCAAATTGGAACCATTAGATTGTAATTTTTGAAATGTTTATATCCCCTATATATTAATTGAGAAACATTTGAAAAGATGTAACCTCAAGTTTGTATTAATTAAAAAGTAACCTTGCTTAGTTGTCAATCAATTAGCATATCAATTAAACTGACGTGACGGCTTTAGGTTCAATTGAAATTTGCTAGGAAAAAATAATTAGAGACGCATATAACGCATGTAACATAGTTTATATATTTATATATATCGCACGCATGTAATGGAAGAAAAGGAAAATATACGATTTGATAACGATTTGCATATATTAACTATAATAACTTCATTCCTTTTAATTTATGGAAGTGTATATGGAAAATGGAAAATACTTAAATTAAAATAATCATAACGTAATTTATAAATCATTGGTGTAAAGTTTTGTTACACAAATATGCAAATAATCATAAAATCATATGAGTAGAAACCTCATTTAATAAATATACATATTAAAAGTGTGCTATATTACTATGTTTATATCATTTAAATTTAATTATATATCATATACAATATATAAGATTGATTATTTTGATTTATTTACCCTAATTGTGAATAATCAAAAGTAATAGTTAAATTTATATGCATACGCCAATTTGTTACATAATAGTAATTGATTTCTTAGTTATTTAATATATATATATTTATTATTTTATTATTTATAATATGCAGAAAAATATAAAATAAATAATAAATATAAAATACTTATTGTGCATAAAGTGCAGATCTTAATCTAAGTATTTATCTGTTTAATTATTTTAAAACTTAAATATTTTCTAAATTTCAGGTCAAAACAAACAAACGAAATGAGAATAAAATTCAAAATAAATATTTATACCGAGTAATAACCAAAATATAAAAAAAAACATAGCAAGAGAAAAATGGAAGATAAATAGGATTGACACGTGAACGTAAACTTCTCATAACTGGAA